TAAAGAGCAGCTGGCTCCCCATCACTCAGCTGTTTTTTGGCTTTCTGCAAATCCTGTTTAAAGAGACTGTGGTTCCTTCCAACAGGGTTTGCAGGGCCACGAACTGGTTTGTTTCACCAACAAACCAAACCACATTTTCCCAGTTCATGCTCATCCCTACACTCTACTCCATGCATAATTTTATAAACCTCTATTATGTCCCCCCCCCCCCCACCCGTCCTTTCTCTAACCTGCAGAGTCCCGCGCACTCTTCAGCCTTTCCTCATAGGGAAGGTGCGTCAACCTCCTAAAGCCAGTTTGGTGTAGTGGTTAAGTGCGCGGACCCTAATCTAGGTTTGATTCCCCACTCCTCCACTTGCAGCTGCTGGATGACCTTGAGCAAGCCATAGTTCTGTCAGAGCTGTTCTTGAAAGAGCAGTTCTTGAAAGAGTTCTCTCAGCCCCACCTACCTCACACGGTGTCTTTGTGGGGAGGGAAAGGAGTTTGTAAGCCGCTCTGAGACTCCAAGTGAAGGGCGGCGTATAAATCCAATGTCTTCCTCTTCTTCTTCTTCTTCACCTTGGTTTGCCCTCCTCTGTACTTTTTTCAGATCTGCAATGTCCTTTTTGAGATACAGTGACCAGAACTGTACACAGTATTCCAAATGAGGCCGCACCATAGATCTATACAGGGGCATTAACCTTTAAATTCTTCTATGTTTTCCTGTGGGATGGGATTTATGGTGGGACGAGGGTTTGCTGTTACTCTGGTTGCAAAGAAGTAACAAATAACAAGTAACAATACAGGGGCATTACAATATCACCTGTTTTATTCTCAATCCCTTTCCTAATAATCCCAAACATAGAGTTTGTCTTTTTCACCACTGCAGCACACTGGGTTGACACTTATAGAATCACGGAGTTGGAAAGGGCCATACAGGCCATCCAGTCCAACCCCATGCTCAGTGCAGGATCAGCCTACAGGATCCCTGACAAGTGTTTGTCCAGCTGCTGCTTAAAGGCTGCCAGTGAGGGGGAGCTCACCACTTCCCTAGACAGCTGATTCTACTGTTGCACAACTCTTACTGTAAAAAAGTATTTTGTAATATCCAGCCAGTAGCTCCCCACCCTTAATTTAAACCCATTATTGTGAGTCCTATCCTCTGCTGCCAACAGGAACAGCTCCCTGCCCTCCTCTAAGTGACAGCAATTCAAATACTTAAAAAGAGTAATCATGTCCCCCTTCAACCTCCTCTTCTCCAGACTACACATTCCCAAGTCCCTCATTGAGCTATCCGCTACAACCCCAAAATCTTTTCCCCTCTCAGTCTCAGCAAGTTCAGACCGCATTAGCTTATACTTGAAGATAGGATTTATTTTAACCTGATTTTTATCAGAGTTCTACCAGATTGATGCTTTCGTGACTTTGGTGGTAAATTTTAAATATTTTATTTATTTAAAATATTTATACACCACCTTCTCTCTGTAAGCCCAAGGCAGCTAACAGTGCAACAAGAAATTGCAAGGAGCCAAAGACAAGACTCTGTTAGTAAGATTATGAATGCAGCCAGATCTGCCAAAACAGTTTCCCTCCTAGTGCCCTTTGAATGGAAACTGTTTTGCTTTCCTACGGCCCCGTTCATACGAGCCCATTTGGGCCGGGAGCGGGACGGAACTGGGGCGGAGCAAACAGGCGCGATCTCACCTCAACATCTGGTGAGCGTGCCGTCTCCGTCCCTGATCCGGCCCAAATGGCAATACCCCGCTGCAAAGACGAACCACCTATCTAGGTGGTAGCAATCGTCTGGGGCGCCCCAAGCCGGCCGTGGGATCGGCGGCGCGTCCTTGCGCCGCCGCATCCCGGCCCCCGGCCGTACTGCGCATGCTCGGGCATGCGCAGTTCGGCAGCCTCCCCCTCCCATCTGGCTCGTCCTCCCCGGCGTCTGCTCTTGCCGGGGAGAAGAGGCGCTGCGGCCAGGGGATCCGTGGGATCCCGCCGCAGCGTCTCAACTTTGGAGCGGCTCTATTTAGCCGCGCTTTACCTCGTCGTTTCCCTGCCGTGTGGCAGGGGCCTACATACAGCAAGTGAAGTTGCTATCCACACCCACTTTGGTAGGCCGTTTCAGAGTCTGAGAGCTACCCCCCCCCACACACACACACACAGCTCATAGCTTAACTGTTGCTACACAGACAACCTGAAGAGAGGGCATCACAAGGAGAAGGCTTTCTAAGGAATTAGCTAGCATGTGAGAATATACAGGGAGAAGTGATTTGACAAGTATCATCAGTTCCCTAAACTGAGGAGAGCTTTAAAGGTAATAGCCAGCACTATATTAATAACTATAATTAATAAATATAATTACTTTTTAAAACCCACCTACCTAAAGAGCACTGAAAGTGCCATAGAAGTGAGTATGAACCCAGCTGTGCGCCCAGACAGAATCTTGAATGGCTAAAAGTGATAGCTGTCTACAAAAGTGAACTATATTTCAAGCCCATCCATATGATCATGAGTCAGTTCAGATGTAATGTTCATCAAAACTAGAACATATGGTTCCATTGCCTTTCTCAGGAAACCACAGTCTACTTGGGAACAGTGATCAAACTGGGTTGCAATTCTGTTTCTGGGGAAACCTCTGTTGGCCTGGGTCATATGTAATCACAAGCTATGATTTGCTGAAAGAAAATAGGGGAATCTGAGTGCCCAAGAATGGGATGGAGGCGTACCCAAACTCAAGGGTTACATGGAAAATTAAACTTAGTAGCATAGCTCAATATGACAAAATGCTATTCAGAATGCAAATAGAGAGAACTGTAGGGCAGGAATGGCCCTAATCTCCTGCCCACTGCCACTGTCATGTGCTCTGATTCCCAGCTGGGGTTGCTGCTGCTGGGAAGGGCTTCTTCTTTGTCTTGCCACCATTAGAAGAAGAACAATGTCAGGGGGAACTATCCCATGACCACAGCCCTGTGGCATGAGCATCAGGCATAGACAGGGATGTGAAAATCTGTGGGAGGGGGGACAGAGAACTTGGGAGGTGGAATTCTTCCTCCCCCCCACTTTCCACCATATGCAGTGTTGGAAAGGGTAGAGCTGAGCTCTGTGGTGTGTGGTGTTCACACTTGCTAGATTCTGGCTGAGTATTATGGGAAGAACTTTTCTCAAGGGCTGACTGGCTAGCAACCTAGAAGAACCTTTTCCAGTGTTACATGTGTCTTTGGACTGTATGATGGCATAGCTCATTTAGTCAAGATGTGTCTGCTGTGCAGATTGTGTAGGTCAGTCTGTACACATATGTGCCAGAAAGATAATCCTATTGCAACAGGTGACTCTGGTGGCTTTTGGTCTCATTCAGGTGGTTGATTCTAGCCCCAGCTTATAGTTCAGAAGCATCATTACCTTTTGGTGCTACTGCAGTAGCCACAAAGTAGCAGCCAATCAGTAAGGGTTAATGGACCCTCCTGTTCCCTGAAGCCATCATGTGGTTATGACTATATTAGAAAAACAGCATGCAGCATGCTGTCTACAGAATTCTCTGCCTGTGGTGTGGTGACGTTATTTTAAATCAAACAGACTGGATTGCAATGTGTCTGCCTTGTGCTGATATCACATGTGTGCACATAACCTAGTGGACAACTCCCACTCCCTCCAGACTCTTGATTGGCTTAGCAGAGAGGCTGTGCCCTATAAATACCTCTCTGTCTCACTCATCTTCCTTCTTGCTTTGCAAAGCCACTGGCAGGAAAGGAGGTAAGCTGAACAGGAAAAACGAGAAGTGCCTGGTTCTGTTGGTGCATATTACCATCTGGAGGGTGTGTGTGGAAGAATGCAAGCCTTTTAAAAAGGAGATCATAAAATACATTAATATTTTAAGTAAATAGATTGTCTAACTTTAGTTTCTCCCCAAGGAAGCCCAACACTGAAAGAAGAATGGCCAGGATGCAGCTTCAGCAGAAATGTAGTAACTGAGGATATTTTTCCCCACAAGGGCTGATAGCTTACCTTATCAGTGATCTCTACGAAATTTTTATATTTGATCGGATTTGAGCCCTTTCTGTCAGTTACTAATTTGGCTAACCAGCATTCTAGTTTGGAAGTGCCTAAAGAAAGATTGTATCAAAGCTATAGTGTTGGTATTCATCTCTTTCTTCATTCCATGGCTCTATGGAAAGTTGGTATCACTTCAGCAATACTTGGAATCAGCAGTCTGAACTCTTCACCCCTGCATCAAATTTACAGCCAACAGGTGTAATCTTGCTCTGGCTTGCTCTAAGAACTAGTAACACTGGGATATGTTCCAACAGATATGGTAAAGAATAGAGCATTGTGCTTTTCGAAACACTTTTCATTAGTAACCACTAAAAATATTTCTGATTAGAAATGCAACTTTGAAAGGTGCTGCGTATTTAATGTGTTTTGTGCCTGTTCTCAGATAACTTTAGTGTTAGGTTAATTGCACCAGTTCAGATACAGATGGTGTGTGATGTTGCATAGCTTCTACCACCTCTCTAGCACAGCACCTATTTGTTTCAGTGAGCCTTGTGCAGGAGGATAGCTGACGGCTTGTGCCTCTTGTTTGTCAACAAAAAGAGTGTGCCATTGGGATTCTTGGGCAGTGTGCTGACTTGGGCAGTCTCTACAGTTTCCCCTTTGTTAGCAGGAGTTAAGGGAACAATTGGCAGAGTTGCAAAATGGCTTTGGTTTATAGCGAGTGGATGCAAGCCAGTATACAATTGAATACTAGCTCTATCCTCGCTCTATACAAATGGTTTTCAGCAGGGAAATTCTAAAGCAAATAATGTTATTTAGTCGGAATGTTCCATGGACTTTTGTGTTAAACTGGCACATCCCAATCAGGCAGTTGTCTGCAAAGATTGTCTATTAGCTTGCAAAGTGTATTGGTAATTCAGATAAGCCTGGATTTTCCAAAATAGTAAACAAATTTAAATTTTACCATACAGATAAGTTTGACAGCTGATGAAATGGTTTATTAATTACTGTAACTTTTTGCTTTCTTCCAGTGCACTTGAAGTGGACACAATGCCAGTCATTAAGAGTCTAAGCCGGGCTGTCAGGCAGGTTTTGCAGAGACCAGGCTGTGGCTGTCAGGTTGCCGTCATGCCAGTTCGGTGTCATGGTTTCTCACCCCGGCAGATAACCTCAGATGCTAGTTTTCATTCTGTATCTTTCTCAGAAACAGATCATCCCAGAGTATTAATTACAGGTCAGTATATTTTACTACTGTTGCAGACTTCTTTTCTCTGAGCTGTTTGAATTTCCTTATTGCTAATTGTATCAAGCCACCTTAATTGGTCTGTATGAAAATGTATGGTTGGGGAAGCAATGATGATCTTATAAGCCACCCCCTTTAGCACAAGGTAGACTATATGCATAGCCCAGACAAGGACAGCAGGAGTGGAGAGTATAACTAAACAAGGAACATTGTTCCAAGCATCTTGCTTAGTAGGAAGAGGAGGAGGAGGAGATTGGATTTATACCCTGCCCTTCACTTGGAGTCTCAGAGCGGCTTACAAACTCCTTTCCCCTCCCCTCCCCACAACAGACACCCTGTGAGGTGGGTGGGGCTGAGAGAACTCTGACACAAACTGCTCTTTTTCAAGGACAGCTGTGCCAGAGCTTGTGACTGACCCAAGGTCACATCAGCAGGTGCAAGTGGAGGAGTGGGGACTCTAACCCGGTTCTCCCAGATTAGAGTCTGCACACTTAACCACTACACCAAACTAGCTATCTGAGAGGTAGCTCTTGTATCATTCTTCTTTGTAAACGTAGGTCTAGTCTCCCATCAGTATGCAACAGTAAATGGGTAGTATAGCATTTGATTGATCTTCAATCCTAGATGATACATATGTGTTGCAATTTTTATCTGTAGGAATAGAACTACTAGAAATATGTACTCTTTGAGCTGATATCCTAGATTGGGCTATAAAGCAATAGCTGTTGCCCATAAAATAGGGTGCTAATTATTTTGCTGCCTATGAGCACTCTGTCCTGCCACCTAGTGGTAGGATAAGTAAAATTCCTGATCTGATCATTTAAAATGGCCATTGCAAGTGGTGGGGTAGAAGCTGCTGGTCCCACCCGGAACAGCAGGAGGTATTGTGCTGTTCATTGTGTTTCCTTAAGAGCAAATGCTGAAATTCGAACCATACTAAGTTTGATCCTGGTTGTAGTAACACAAGTGTTAAGAAATGAGACCTTTTACTGGTAACCCTTGGTGGAAACTGGACCTTGGTAGACACTGGCAAGAACCCATCTAAACTGCCAATTGCTGTAGATAAAGCAATTCGGCTAACACAAGTCAAAAAGGACTTAAAAACAGTAGAAGGTTTTATGATTGTTTTATTGCCTATCTATGTGTTTTAATTATTTGTAAGCCTCCCTGAGACTGCTTCGGTGGGGAGGGTGGGGTATAAATTTGATAAATAAATAAATACAGTAGCTACACCCTGAAGTATTCTTAACTATCTAGTCAGTTTCTCCATAGAAAGATAATCCCCAGTAGAAATATACAAAACTTTCTCCAGTTTTTTTTTTAATGCAACATAACCCCTCCCCTTTAGGTTTGGCAAGCTCTGAATTAATTTCTTTTGATTTACCTCCTCTCGTTCTTGACTTTTAGGGGGATTAGGCCAGCTTGGAGTAGGACTTGCTAAACTCTTGAGGTAAGCTGTAACTTTTTGATACTTCTTATTTACAGCATGATATAGATGATATATTCCTAGAGAAAGAACAAGATTTCCATTAACCTTCACAATCAGTTTTTTATGTTACAAATGCAGGGAAACCATACCCTTATTGTTTCATGAATTCCTAAACTGGCAACAAAAGGGCGGTCTCCAAAGCTGACCATGCTTAACATGGCCAGTTTAAGGTATTTTGTCAACCCAAGTAAAGGTAAAGGTTCCCTTGCTCGAAAGCCAGTCGAATCCAACTCTAGGGTTGCGGTGCTCATCTCCGTTTCAAAGCCAAAGAGCCAGCACTGTCCGAAGACGTTTCCATGGTCATGTGGCCGGCATGTCTAAACACCAAGGCGCACGGAACGCTGTTACCTTCCCACCAAAGTGGTACCTATTTATCTATTTGCAATTTCTTGCTTTCAAACTGCTAGGTTGGCAGGAGCTGGAACTAGAGATGGGAGCTCACTCCGTCATGCGGCAACTCGGGTCTTGAACTGCTGAACTACTGACCTTCCACAGCCTGCAGTTCAGCGTCTTAACCCCTTGAGCCACCGCAGCTCCAAAGGAAGCTTCTATTGCTTCCTCCCAGCTAGCGGTGATTTTTAAAATTTATTTATTTATTAGACTTATATCCCGCCCTTCCACACGGGCTCAGGGCGGCTAACAAGAGGCAAATGGTGGCCCAGAAACCTACACTAGTGCCTCACGTGCTACCAATAGCAGGGAGAAAGCTGAATCCTTGTGGAGCATCGGTGCCTTCCTCATCATGCCACCCCAAGCATCTACTTGGATGCTTTGTCTGGAGAGCCAGCTCTGCAGGCTTAGTACACTGATCTGGGTTGATACAGAAATTTGTGGAATGAACTATACTTAAGTAGCTCATATCTCCTTTTGAGAGATGTAATGGAAACTTTCGTATTTTGGAATGTCTTCTGAAAAAGATTTTTCTAATTGAAATGTTTTGAGAAGTGTCCTGAAACTAATGGTAGCATCTTCTTTAGAAAACGCTTTGGGAAGAACAATGTGATCCTGTCAGATATTAGAAAGCCACCTGATCACGTCTTCTATAGCGGTAAGTGGCCACATTATGAGCAGGCACATTTTCTTTACAATCCAGTAAATATGGCCTTCTTCCTGCAAGAGAGAGTTTCCTTTGTGAAGTAGTCTTGGTGGTATCCTTCTTAATAATCTTCAAGTGGATTCCTTAGGAGGGGTCATGGAATGGTAGAGCATCAGCTTTGCTTGACAAGGTCCCAGGTTCAATCCCTGGCATCTCCAGTTAAAAGGATCACGTTGTACATGATGTGACTATCTCTGTCCAAGACCCTGGAGAGCCACTGCCCATCAGAGCAGACAAGACTGAGCTTGAATAGACCAGGGGTCTGGCTCAGGATAAGATGCATTCAGGTGTTCATGTGTGCAGGTTTAGGGCTTATGTACTATTTTTCTCTGTTCCCCCCACTCCCACCTGTCCATTCAACAGGGAAGAAGTGAACACCTGCCCCAGGAGACTCATGGATATGTGACCACAAGATTACTCCTAATTTATGAAGATGGTTTAATGTACCCATCTCCTAGTTTAACCATTTCATTTCCCCTGTTATGAGTGGAGCACAAGGCCGGGATTTGTCCTTAAGCGTATTTGAACATATTCTTCTCTTATTCCTTCTGCTTGAAAAAGTTCAGCTACGTGAGATTATTTATCTTCCTGCCTCATCTACTTCATTTGACTTTAAGATGGCCAAAGTCTAATGTTAGTTTAGCGTTAGCTACTTAACTTTCTAAAGAGAGGATCTTTCATAATAGAGGTTAATTTAAACCATATTTACTTTTCTACTTAAGTAGTGTGTGATGACCTGAAACATCAAAATGTAGGCAAGGTAGCCAGATCAGGTTTCTTCTAATGGTAGCACAATGGCAATTGAGTTTCATAAATGGTAAACCAGCCAAATGCATGCATTTAATCTTCTTTTGCACTATGGAAGACAGCATGATAAAGGGCTTGCACTATGGAAGACAGCATGATAAAGGATATGTGCACCTAAACTGTTTGGGACTTTTAAAAGTTGTTCACTCATCACATTATTACCTTTTATTTACAGCTTGTTTTCTCAGTGCTTCAAAAGCCTATTTGATCAGAGAAAATGGTTTTCCACTGGTGGAAAAAGGGAGGAAGGGGCCCCCTGTGACCACCAGAAAATCTATGCTGTGGATCATGGACAAAAGCTATCAAGGATAAGGGCTGCAATAGAAAGGGGAATTGGCCAAGGCTGAGCAAAACAACTGGCTGGGTCCAACCCACTGATATTTATATGAACATTTGTTTCTCTAGAGAAACAGTACATAAGAACATAAGAGACGCCAGTGTTGGATCAAGCCAAAGGCCCATCCAGTCCAACACTCTGTCACACAGTGGCCAAAAATACCAGGTGCCATCAGGAGGTCCACTGTGGGGCCAGGACATTAGAAGCCCTCCCCCTGTTGACCCCCCCCCCCCCCCCCCCCCCACCCAAAACAAACAACACACCCCCCCCCCCCCAAGCACCAAGAATACAGAGCATCACTTGCCCTGGAGTTCCTATCTATACCTTGTGGCTAATAGCCACTGATGGACCTCTGTTCCATATGCTTATCTAATTCCCTTTTGAAGCCGTCCATGCTTGTAGCCGCCACCACTTCCTGTGGCAGTGAATTCCAAGTGTTAATCACTCTTTGGGTGAAGAAGTACTTCCTTTTATCCGTTCTAACCCGACCACTCAGCAATTTCATGGAGTGCCCACGAGTTCTTGTATTGTGAAAAAGGGAGAAAAGTACCTCTTTCTCTGCCTGCTCTATCCCATGCATAATCTCATAAACCTCAATCATGTCACCCCTGAGTCATCATTTCTCCAAGCTAAAGAGCCCTAAGCGCTTCAACCTTTCCTCATAGGGAAAGTGTTCCAACCCTTTTATCATTCGAGTTGCCCTTTTCTGCACTTTTCTCAAAGCTAGAATATC